CGCTCTTGAATCTCATCTGATCCTGTTGCCTACAGAATAGAATGTAATGAACCAGTCAAACTCTGTGGAAGTTCACGGTAAAGCTGTACCTATTTTTATAAATAATTTAGAAGCTGCATACTGATTGATCATTGGTTTACATTTTCAATTTTTCTCTTCCTCTGATTTCAGGTACAACCAAAACTTTATCAGACCATCTGAAACGGAAGCACGATGAAGCATTCAAGACCTATAACGCGGACAAAGAGCGGCTTGAACTTGAAAAGAAAAAGCGTAAGGAGGAATCATGTGGAGCTGCCCACCCCTTGATTACAACGGTTCTTAAAAAAAAGAAAATTCAGTGGTCTTCCAAGCATCCCAAAGCCCAAGCCCTTACAAAGAAGACGGCGCAGTGGCTCGTGAAAGGTTTCCACCCATACACAGACGTTGAACAACCAGAGTTCCTTGAACTAATAGAAATGACAGAACCTAACTACCATGTGCCATCAGCGGACAATTTCGCATCGGTAATTATTCCAGAACTTTATAATGAAAAAAAAGCAGAGTTAAAGAAAACCATTGACGAGGATAAAGATTCCATGTCTTCATTTTCATTCACTACTGATGGTTGGACATCAAAAGCTGGGGACTCCTATTTAGGTGTTACTGGCCACTACCTTGATGATGACTTTTATTTTAAAAATATGTGTTTAGGTCACGAAAAATTGAATGGATCTCACACTGGTGTTAACATGAAAAATGCTCTTCAAATTAAGTTAGCAGAATATAATTTAATCCCATCAACTATCCCAATTTATGCTGTCTCTGATAACGCACCAAATATTGTTAATGCTCTTAATTTGCTGTCATCAGAAGATGTTGATGTAACCCGCATACCCTGTTTCGATCATGGCCTTAATCTTGCAGTTTCCGATGTGAAGGAACAAACAAAAAATTTTAGCAACACATGCGCAAAAACAAGGTCTCTTGTTGGCTTCTTTAAACATAGTTCCTCTGCTCGAGACGTCTTCCATGAGGTGCAAATTGAGAGAGGACTGCCACCTCTTGAACTTATGCAGGACGTTCCCACCCGATGGAATTCGGAATTCTTGATGTTATCACGTCTTTGTAAGGTCAGAGAACCTTTAAGCATAGCCATCGGTCGCTTGAAAGACAGCCCTGTAGAGGATCTGACAACCAGAGAATGGAGTGTTGTTGAGTCGTATGTTAATGTTTTACGACCCTTATATGATGCTACCGTCACTATGAGTGCTGAAAATAAACCTACAATTTCTTCTGTCATTCCTACCCTCAGTACTGTGGAAGATATTTTAACAGGTATTGTGAGTACCGAAATAGGAACAACCCCAAGTAAAACATTAGCAAAGAATTTAAAGTTACAAATTCAGTCACGTTTTCCAAACTACACAGAAGACAAGATTTATGTAATAAGTATGATGCTTGATCCAAGGTACAAGGATATGCTTATCGATTCATCAAAAAAAAACAGATGGGTTGAAGTAATAAAGACCGAAGCCAACAAAATGGCTGAAGCTTTGGCTGAGAAGGCAAAAAAAGCATCTCAAGTTACTGCTACTCCCTCAACATCACAAGTTAATGCCCCTTCAAGCTCAACTACTCCTGCAACAAGTTTGAGAGCTTCGATGAAAAGAGTGCTTTCCCAAAAAACGAGCCAAAGTGAAATGTCAGTTAAGTCCCTTCTGGACCTGGAATTAGGTCACTATTTTGCAGAAGCTCCAATAGGACTTGATGATGATCCGCTCAAGTTCTGGCGCGAAAGTAGGTCCAAATACCCCCTACTTAGACCAGTTGCAAAAAAATATTTGGGGATTCCTGCGTCGCAATGTGCTTGCGAACGTCAAAATTCTACTGGAACTAATGTTGTTACCGCAAGAAGGAGACGATTGACACCCTTACACGTCGAACAATTAGTTTTCTTGCATGAAAACTTGTAATGGTGATCTGCACTTGTCCATGTAAACACGGAACAAAAAATTAAATTGCTAATCTGACAATTCAATTGCTAAAAAAAGTGACTGCAACGTTTCAACGTACATTTTACAACAAAAAAATGCTACTTTAACCACTATTGTAAGCTACTTTAACCACAGGGGTGGTTAAAGTAGCATTTTTATGTTTTAAAATCTACATTGAAACATGGCAGTCACTTTTTTTAGCAATTGAATTGTTAAATCAGCAATTTAATTTTTTCCGTGAAGTTTTAGTGATTGATTCTTGCCTGATTAAGAGTTACTGCGTTTGATGTTAGAGAAGATATGACCATGGGCATTATGTGATACTAGTCAAATACAAAATTCAAATAATTTACCTCCAGAAAGAAACAGTTTTCAAAAAACCTAAGGATGAATTTTTAAACTAACAAAATTTAATTATTATTAATTATTAATAAAGCTACCCCATAAATGAATTAAGTACTGTTAATAGTTAAATTAGAATGCAAATTGTAAACGCTAACTACTTAATCAGTGCAGAAATGTACTTCAGTGCAATTTCCGTTGCCTATTTTGAATCTCTTGTGCTTCCAAAGCAGCTTCCGAAGCAGGGTTGTGATTTTGGAAATTGATTCTCTTTTGTTTTTTTTTTATCTTGATTTTTGAATAGTATGTAATTCAAATTTTTTCACAATTTGTTTTGTTTTCTTTCTGATTTTTTTCTACCTTGTTTAAACTTTTCCTTTTTTTATTTTCATATAATACTTTGTAATCCT